TAACTGGTGTGCGCCACCGCACCAGACCCAGAATAATTTTTAAATGCAAAAAAAAAAAAAAAAAAAAATGCAATCTTTTCTAACTAGGAGATTAATCAAAATGAACTTGGACACAAATGAACTTCTGTGTCCAAGATATTATAATAGCCATATTCTATATATATTCTATAATTAATATCACTCAAATCCCATTTTAAACCACCTCTGATTTATTCAAGCACAAAATGTCAATACTAAAATAAACACAAGTAACTGCTTTTACATAATAGAAGTAAAAAGACTTTAGAAATATACTTACATCAACTCAAAATATAAGTGGTATTCTCCATCTCCCTGACAAAGGAGAGTGTTATGATATTTTAGGATCATAGATCTCTACTTTGCTACCTAATAAGTAGGTTTCTTCTCGTGCATGAATTATTGCCTTCAACCTCTAAAAAGTAGACTTGAGGCTTAATATAGCTTAAAATGATTAGACACATACATGTCAAGAAATAACAATCCACTTAAAAGTCAATGCACACATTTTGCATTTTTAAAAAGCCACGTTTCATTAACAAAACATTAATTCATAAACTACACAACAGCAAAGATGAAGTTGTATATAACCTCTTGGTTTCACTGTATACAGAAGGCTTGGTTATCAAATAATTAAACTTCTAAAAAAAAATTTTAGGCCAGGCCCCGGGGCTCATACTTGTAATCCCAGCACTTTGGGAGGCAGAGGCAGGAGGATTGCCTGAGTCTAGGAGTTTGAGACAGGTCTGGACAACATGGCGAAAACTCATCTCCACTAAAGATACAAAAAATTAGCCAGGCACAGTGGTGCGCACCTGTAGTCCCAGCAACTCAGGAGGCTAAGGCACAATTATCACCTGAACCCAGGAGGTAGAGGCTATAGCAAGCCAAGATCACACCACTGCACTCCAGCCTGGGCAACTGGAGTGGGACCCAGTCTCAAAGACAAAGAAAAAAGAAAAAAAAGTTTAATTAAAATAAGCTAGAGAAGAAGAAAGCAATGTGAGAATGAGTATTGTGAAAATAAGAACAACCCAAATGTCCATCAATCGGTGAATGTATAAACAAATTATTACATATCTACACAATGGAATACCACTCAGTAATTAAAAAGGAATAAACTATCGAAACTTCCAACAGCAAAGATGGTTTTCAAAATAATTATGATGGCCAGGCATGGTGGCTTATGTCCATAATACCAGTGCTCTGGGAGGCTGAGGCAGGAGGATCACTTGAAACCAGGAGTTCAAGAGCAGCAAGATTCTCTCTAGGAAAAATTAAGAAAAAAAAAGATGATGATGATGATGAAAGAAGCCAGACCAACCCCCACCCCAAAAAAAGCACATACTCCAAGATTATAGTTAGATAAACCTAGGAAATGCAGCTGGGCACGGTGGCTCACTCTTGTAATGCCAGCACTTTGGGAGGCTAAGTTGGGCAGATCATTTGAGGCCAGGAGTGCAAGACCAGTCTGACCAACGTGGTGAAACCCCATCTCCACTGAAAATACAAACAAAAATTAGCTGGGTGTGGTGGTGTGCACCTGTAACCCAGCTACTCAGGAGGCTGAGGCAGGAGAATCGCTTGGACTCAGGGAGACTGAGGCTGCAGTAAGCCAAGATCACACCACTGCACTCCAGCCTGGGTGACAGAGGGAGACTTCAGCTTAAAAAAAAAAAAAAAACCCTAGGAAATGCAGTGCAAACTTATCTACAGTGATAGATCATAGATCAGAGGTTTCCTGGAAGAGTGGCTGGAGGGATGACAAAGGAGCTAGAGGAAACTTTTAGGGGTGATTGATAGGTTCATTCTCTTGATATGGTGATGGCATAAAACATATCAAATTGTATACTTTAATATGTGCAGTTAACTGTATGACAATTTTACCTCAATAAAGCTGTTTAAAAAATACTTAAAGAAAAAAAAAAGCCTGGTCTGGTATATTGTTTACATCACCCTCTTTTCCAAACAGGTTCATATCCTGAAAAGTAACAGAACTGTAATACTTTTCCTCTGGAGATTTGCATGCATGAACAAAACTTTAAAACTAAGAAATGTAATTATAATAAAATTTAACAATAGTTAATATTTACATGGCTATGACTATGTGCCAGGCACTATTAAAGCATTTTTCTTGATTAATTCATCTAATGCTCACATTAACCCTATTTTACAGATGAGGAAACTGAGGCACTGAAGGGATAAGTAATTGGATCAAAGTCACACAGCTGATAAGCAGAGCACTAGAATTTGAACCCAGGGAGCCTAGCTTCAGAGTTAATTTCCTAACCCATTACCCTCTAGTGCCACACACAATCTAAGGTATGTGAACGCTAGAAGCAATGAATATTGCACTTGTAAAATACTTTTCTTTCTCACACTCACAGAATATAAATATTCACTACAATTGGCAACATCACATGAATAACAAAATAAAGAACAACAGTGGCCTTCTTTTCCCAATTAATAGACGAAGGAAGAAGAGGCAGAAAGGCAGACAACTTTCTTAGGACACAGAGCAAATAACTGGCAAGTTGACCAGTTCCTGGAAAGCTGGTTCCTCACATTCTTAACCCAGTTGTTTTCAAAATCCTGATTATTTTAAGTAACACCATAAGGGAGAGAAAATCTAACATAGAAACATAAAAAGTAAAAGTTCTTTCTCTTTTCTCATACTCCTTACTGGCTCCTTAATTTCAGCCAGAGGATCTCAATCTCGGCAGATACAGGTCTGGAGACTGTTTTTAAAGCTCCCCAGGTAATTGTTACGTGCAGCCAAGGTTGAGAATTCTTGATTTAGATTTCTCATTAAAGAAAGATAGAAGGCGGCTGGGTGCGGTCGCTCATTCCTCTTATCCAGCACTTTGACAGGCAGTGGGAGAAGGATGCTTGAGCCCAGGAGCTGCAGGTTACAGTGAGCTGTAATTCTGCCACTGCACTTCAGCCTGGGCAACAGGGTTATTCCTTGTCTCAAAAAAATTAAAAAAAAAAAAAAAAAAAAAAAAAAAAAAAGGAAAGAAAATAAAATGGGAAGACAGAAGAAAGCAAGATGCCACAAAAAGCTTTGGTAAATCGAGGCCAAAGGTTTTCCAAATCAGTATTGAACTGCTGTCCACATGCAAACTTTTGAGTTCAACTTTTAATATATCAGAAGTACAAATATGCATTCAAGACAAGAGAAAGCAAGAAGCACAATAAACAACTTTAAAAAAAAATGCAAACCAGTGGTAAACTGGATGTTAAGACTTAAAGAGAAAACCCTACATTTTGATGTTAGGTCATAACAGAAGTCACATAAAAATATATTGGGATGACAAAATCTCTTTTCAACTTTTTGGAATGCTAAATTGACATCTTAACATCAAGTCAATGAACTAAAAGCACAGAAAAACCTGTCAAATATCCTCTGCATTTAGAACATGGAAATAATTTATAATTCGCTGTGAATCTAGTTAAGAAGCACGGGTTGAAGAAAGAATTGGCCAGGTCAGGGTCGGTGGTTCACGCCTGTAATCCCAGCACTTTGGAAAGCCGAGGCTGTTGGATTACCCGAGGTCAGTGGTTCGAGATCAGCCTGGCCAACATGGCGAGACCTTGTCTCTACTAAAGCTATAAAAATTAGCTGGGCATGGTAGCGCACACCTGTAATCCCAGCTACTGGAGACGCTGAGGCAGGAGAATAGTTTGAGCCTAGGAGGCGGAGGTCGCAGTGAGCCGAGATCGAGCCATTGCACTTCTGCCTGGGCAACAGTGCAAGACTCCGTCTCAAAAAAAAGAGAAAGTGCTGTATCTTTAGCCCATGACCTGAATCAATGCTCCTTGAACTTTAAGATACACTTCTTGAGGAAGATTCTGATTCAGCATGATTCAGCAGCTCTGGGGTGAGGCATGAAGTGCAGTTCTTTTTTTTTTTTTTTTTTCCCGAGACGGACTTCTGCCCTTGTCGCCCAGGCTGGAGTGCAATGGCACGGTCTCGGCTCACCGCAACCTCCGCCTCCCAGGTTCAAGCAATTCTCCTGCATCAGCTTCCCGAGTAGCAAAATGCGTCACCACCCCTGGCTAATTTTGTGTTTTTAGTAGAGGCGGGTTTCTTCTCTTTCGTCAGGCTGTTCTCAAACTCCCGACCTCAGGTGATCGGCCCGCTTCGGCCTTCCAAAGTACTGGTATTACAGGTGTGAACCACCGCATCCGGCCACGAAGTACAATTCTAACAAGCTCCTAGGAGATGCTGATGCTGCTGGTAGGTGGACCAAACTTCGAGCAACAAAGCCCTATATAACCAGAACATTGCATGTACCGTTAGCCAACTGGCTTACAAATATCATTATGTCTAGGATCCAAGAAATAAGTGTCAATATAATTAATTCCTACTCCAGGCCAAAAAAAAAAATTAAAAATTAAAGTGAAAAACAGGGTGCAGGGGAAGGAAAAAGCAAATACTTGTTTATATAGTCTACCAGTGCTAAGAACCAGAAAATACTGTTATTTCTCTCAACCTAGTAGAGGTCAAGGTGATAAAATATAGGTTCCGTGAGTTAATGGATTTTTTTTAGTTAACTGCTGAATCCTTATGACCTACAAATTAGGTACTCAATAAATGCACTGAATAAATGAAGAATGGTAAGTATATACAAACGCAATCTGTATTTAGGTCACATCCCCAAAAATGTCTGGGGAGGGGGCGGTATTTGTACTTCTAGATGCAGGTAGCCATGATTTGATACAAATACCGGGCCCATCTCCTGAATTCCCTTTGTCCGAAGTTAACTTTCCTGAAAGTTAGCTAAAAGCCCATGGTCACGGCACCCTAATGTTCAGCAACTTTTTGGCTTTTTGAAAACAAGCAAGAAAGGTGGAAGTACAAGGAGAAGCATTCGTTAAAGTCTCAAAAAATCTAGGCAAAAAACCAGGAGGGAGGAGATGGCAAAAAGTTCAGTTCACGTGAAGGAACATATGAGGTTGTCAGAGTTCCACGTGCTTACCTATGCTGGTGGCGGGGTTTGGGCTCGGGCTTTTACATGTTTTGTTACTGTCCAGGGTCACTGGTTGAGTAGCACCTGGCTGTGGAAACTCGGACTACACAGGCAGCCGGCACTGCAGCCAACCTTTTGAAGCTTAGAGGAATCACGTTCGCGCCTACTTCCTCCTTCCCAGGGTCTCCGCGCGCGTTTGGGAACTCAGCCGCCGCCCAAACACAAGATGATCTGGGCAGCTTCACTGTCGGATTGAGGCCACAGCCAGGATTTAAGATGGCGACGAAACCCTTTGGTAGCCCGTGGAATCAGCCCAAAAGAAAAATGGCCTCTATTTAGAATCTCGCGGCTTTCAAAGAGGGCCCAAAACAAAAATGGCGGCAGACGCCGGCTGGGAACCCAATGACTAAGATTGGCAGGTAAAGAATCACGGTAACCCACAGTGCTAGGCCGTTGAACTGATCGAGAGAAAACAACGCTTTTCTGTGGTGTGTTTTCTTAACACCGGAAACTGACTAGCTTAAGAATGGAACGTATATTCGGTGCGGAAGATTATGGGAAAGAAAAGGTAGCTTTCAAATGGCCAGATGAATATCAATGGAAATAGTCATGTTTAAACATAACTTCCTCTATGTATTTTTTAATGTTAAAAGAGAATAAAAGGTTTGTCCTGGAACCCAAAACCAGGATGGGGAAATAACGGATGAATTATCTAATCTGTGAAGAGCACCCAGCTGAAGTAGATCTGCACTTCCCTGTAAGCCCTTATATGCTTTAGAAGGCAACTAGCTCTCACTGCGCATGTCCGCTCCCCAAACCCGATCTCGGGAGTTACTGGAGGGTAAATCCGTTTCTCCTGATTTTCGAGATAACCGCAAAGAGAGGCGGGATACTGACGCTGAGCGACAAATCCAGGCGCTTTGTGATTGGTCATGTCTGGGAGGCCAGAGAACATAGCGCAGTGGACTTCTTTCATTAATTCAACAAATCATTGTTAAGCGCTCACCAAAAGGCAGGATCTGTGCCATGTTTATATGTTATTTAAATTTTATGCGTTCTTTTAAAATTTCAGTTTCAACGATTTGCTGGCATATACGCTAAATAAACTTCGCTCCCCGTTTTTCCCGGTGACGGCCACCAGTACAATTGGCTGGAGCTTCATGGAAAATCCGGAAAAGCGGGGTGGGAGCGGCCCGGCGCCGACCGCAGAGCTGCGCGTGCTCTGTTCTCCGCGCAACGCGAAGGTTGTCGGGATCCGCGGCAGCGGCGGCTTGAGGTCGGTCTCTAGTCCCTGCAGGCGGCGGCGGCCTGGGGCGGCGTGGCGTCTGGTGGGCAGGTGAGAGCGCTGGAACTTCAGGTGGAAAGACCGCTTTCTGTCCGGCCGAAGAGAGGGGAAGGGGCTTGCAGGCGCCTCTCTCCACCCCCAAAGGTCGCCGTTGTCCTCACTGAAGGATATTTGGGGGCGGGGACAAGGAGGAGTCTGGCTTTTAGTAGGAGGCGAAAAAAAAATAGCTGCAGATGGTAAATTCTTGCGGGCAGCGAGGAGGTCTTCCCGCCGGTGGGAAAAGCTGGAGGAGTGGCCCCTCCCCGCGCTCCCACCTGCGCTGCGCCGGACCTGTGACTCCTTGGTCGCCTCCCTCGCTGGGAGGGGCCCCGTGTGCCTCTCACTGGTCTGGAGAGTGCACGGTGTACCCCAGGCTGTCGGGAGGTGGGGGCCGCCTTCAGACTTCGTCAAAGCCCTTGTGCAGCATTATCCTGCCAGCTGCGCGAAAGCGGCCGTGAACCTTGCAGGGATGACCTTAAGGTCATGCTCATCTTCCTCCCAGATGAGACCGTACCCAAATCCTTTTGCCATTTTGGAGACTCTCAATATGACGGTTTCATTCATTTATTAACATCGTCAGTTTATCCATGAACAGATAATACACGTGTCTACAGCACTGCCGAGTTAGTAGATACAGCGGTGACCAAGATGGACATGTATGGTCCTGACCGTGACTCCATGTTCTAGTGATGGAGGAGAAACAATACTCTCCCTCAGGTGGCCCCAGTTCCACACCTGGGGATTCAACCAAGTGCGGAAAGAAAATATTCTGGGGCAGCAGGGCTCTGTGGTTCACACCTGTAATCCCAAAACTTTGGGAGGCCGAGGTGGGTGGACCACTTGAGTCAGGAGTTCGAGGTCTGCCGGGCCAACACGGCGAAACCCCGTCTTACTAAAAGTACAAAAAAAAATGAGCCGGGCGCAGTGATGCGCTACTGTAGTCCCAGCTACTTGGGAGTCTGAGGCAGGAGAATAGCTTGAGCCTTGGAGGCGGAGGTTGCAATGGGCCAGGATCATGCCAGTGTACTCCATGCTGGGTGACAGAGGTTCTATTTTAAAAAAAGAAGAAAGAATATTCTGGGGGAGAAAAAGATGGTTGCATCTGTACTGAACATGTGCAGATCTTTTTTCTTGTCATTCCCTAAATACTGCATATAACAACTATTTGCGTAGTGTTTAACGTTATATAAGATATTATAAGCAGTGTCGAGATGATTTAAGGTACTTGGGAGGATGTGGTAAGCTGTGTGCAAATACTACACGATTTTTTTTTTTTTGAGATGAAGAGGCTCGCTCTGTTGCCCAGGCTGGGGTGCAGTGGCGCCATCTGTGCTCACCGCAACCCTGGTTCAAGCAATTCTCCCTGCCTCAGCCTCCCAAGTAGTTTGGAATCACAAGTGCCCGCCACCAAACCTGGCTAATTTTTGTATTTTTTTAGTAGAGATGGTGTTTTTGCTGTGTTGGCCAGGCTGGTCTTGAACTTCTGACCTCAGGTGATCCACCGGTCTTGGCCTCCCAAAGTGCTAGGATTACAGGTGTGAGCCATGGCGTCTAGCCTACTACATGATTTTTTAATCAGGGACCTGAGCATCTGGATTTAGGTCTCCATGATGGGTCCTGGATGGAATCCCCCAGGGATACTGAGGGGTGATTATACATTGATAATGACCAAGATGTTTCTAGATTGTCCTAGATTGGGTTTCCTGAGAATCAGACTCTGAGGAGATTTGGAGGCAGGACTTTTTGGATGATTACCAAGGAAGAAAGGAAGTAGAATTGGGCAGACAGAAAAAGTTAAGCCTCATCCAGCTCCCAAGGATGTTCTCCACCCATCCCACAGGAACTCTAGCGTTGGGTTGGCCCTTCAGTTGAAGGGAAGGGCCAGGCCTTTGTACTCCTGCATTGATGTGTCATTGAATGCTGTTGCCTTGGAAAGGGCCTGACTTCAACTCTCTTCAGCCAAATCAATCATGGATGGAGGCTGGCAGCCGAGGTCTGTCTCAGCACTTCCAGGCACTGGGGAAATAAGCCTTTCATTCCGTAGGGGGGTCAGGGTGGCACATCACAGCATTTACCACAAAGGTAAGGCTTTGACGGAAACACATGCTAGAGAATAATGGGGAGGGAGTGGGGGAAAAACTCTAGATTGAATACTCAGAGAAAGGCTCTCTGAGGAGGGGACATCTGAACTAAGAGCTGAAGCACAAGAATAAGCCACCCTGTGTGGAACAAAGGGAAGAAGATTCTCTACTTTTCTGCTGTGTGCTAGGAATACAGCAAAAAAGACAAGTGGCTGCTACCTTCTGTTACAGTGGGTGGCAGCGACTAGCTTTTCTAGATCTTGACTCCCTGCTATAACTAAAGATAGAGTAAGTAAAAATGGATTGAGTCTCATTCAGAGGAGGATAGAGGAAAAACTCAGAACTATGATTTTGAAAAATGAGTAAACTTGGGAAAAACTTAATCGATACAGTTTCTTGTGGGGGTTTTCTTCAGTTTGGTTTGGCTTTTTGATCCTGTACAGCATTGAATTATGTTTTAATAAGATTTTCCTGTGATCTTCTCAAAGCTGTATTCTCCTTCAGTGTAAGAATCATGCCTTACTCTTCTTGGTAGGTCCTGCCTGAGCCTAATTGTCTTGCTAGCACCTAATAGGCACGACGTGAGCATTTGGATAGAATTAATCTCATACATATTTGAAGTAAAAATTGCTAATCCCTAAACGATGTGAACATGGGATACATAACTGTGTTTGGATTTGTCTTTACAATATTTCCTCTTTCTGTAAGTTAGAACTCAATTGTAGTCAGAATATTCTATGGTACTACATCATTGCTTTGATCAAGCAGGCACCTCCAGAGGCACCTATTTTTATATATGCTTTGTGAGATAATATGTTCCCAATAAAAGTAATAGCTGCCAAGCACTGAGCACTTCCCACATGCTAGGGACTGCACTAATCTATGAATATATATAGTTATCTTCTTAATATGGCCCCCTATTTCAGATCATGCTATTGAGCTCTTAAGGCAGAAGAGAAGTAATTTGTCCAAGACTATAACTAATTTGTGATGGAGGTTAGAATATGATTCTCTCTCTCTCTCTTTTTTTTTTTTTTTTTTTTGGAGACAGAGTTTTGCTGCTGTTAACCAGTCTGGAGTGCGTTGGCACGATCTCTGTTCACCGCAATCTCTGCCTCCCAGGTTCAAGGGATTCTCCTGCCTCAGCCTCCTGAGTAGCTGGGATTACAGGCATGTGCCACCGTGCCATGCTAATTTTGTATTTTTAATAGAGATAGGTTTTCCCCATGTTGGTCAGGCTGGTCTCAAACTCCTGACCTCAGGTGATCCACCTACCTCAGCCTCCCAAAGTGCTGGGATTACAGGTGTGAGCCACCGCGCCCGGCCTAGAATTTGATTCTCACCATAACTCAGTGCTTTTGCTCTTAAGCAACCAACAGCATTTCTGAAAACGTAGACCACATTTCAGTCATGGTAGGTTTCTCACATTTAATCACTTGGCTGCTCTATTAACTGTTATTAGAGAAACAAACGTGAAATTATTCCTGTCTTTACTGCTTTGCTGTGTCTTTCAGTTTTCTGACTTCTTTCACTGCTTCCCTGGCTCTCACTTTAGAAGCTTCACTGTTATCTGTACTATAATAATCCTAGAATCTGATTACCAGATTCAGTCTACACTAGTCAAACCTCAGAGACCTGAGAACCTCTCTCTGGAGACTGGGTATTTTTATTCATAGCTAACTAACTGAAACTGCCCAGAAAACAAGGCCTCCTTTATGGGGACCACTTCCCTTAGTTGGGGCATTAATTCCAGTCCTCTCCTGTTCTTGCTATACTACAGGTTAATTCCAGTAATGTTTTTTTTTTCCTTTTGACATAATCAAAATAATAATAGCTAACAATTACTGAGCCCAGACTGAGTGCCAAGTATTGTGATAACTGCACAGCAAGCTTGTCACAGGGACGTTATTCACAGTGTACACATGATGGAACCGAAGCATAGTGAGGTTAAGTGACTCATCCAAGGCTACACAGCCAGTTGTAAAGTGGTAAGTGAAGATGTGAAGATTCAAAGCCAGATAGTGTGATTCTGCAGCTCATCCCTTAATCACTGCCTGACTGCATTCTTAGAAAAATGATGTAAAGTGCTTGACTTTCTGAAAACTGGTAGGCAGCATCCAGATCCTAGTGGAATTTTTTTCTGCTGTACCAAGAAATTTAGATTTCACTCGAATCAAAAATGTCACTCAAGTCTTCTAAGCAAAGCAGGAATACAATCAGATTTGGGGTTTTTTTTTGCAAGATGGCTTTATCAGAATTGTAGATAATGG